TTATGACCTCGAAATGATCCTGTACTTATTGGAACATTTATGAAATTCTAGGACTTGTTCCATTATTCCTCGAAACTTCTTGAAAGTTCCTGCAATTAATTAATGGAACTGCTCTGAAGTTCTTTGGACTTCATTTAAGAACATGGAACATCCATGAAAATTATAAACCTACAAAAAAAAATCAAAACTAGTCTTATGTTCTTTGATTTTTCCTGAAGATCTCGGAACTGGAGAGACTGGCTAAAAGTCTCTATTATAAAGAAAATAATAATTTTGGAAATATGCTGAAGTTTTCCTTAATTCTCTGAGTTTCTTGAGCCTTCTTAAGAGTAATTTCCATGAAGTAAACTGAACACCTTAAGGATCTCTGATCTTCCCTGATGTTCTCAAAACTACTCTGAAGCCCGCCTGTAGTTTTTGATACTGTCCTGAAATAAAATGAACTGTCCTAAACACATTCAAACTTTTCTGGAAATCCCTGGACATCTGATAAGTTCCCAAAATATGTTTGAAGTTTTCAAAACTTCTAAGCAGTTCTGAACATTCAATTCCCAGAACTTTTTAACATTCCTCGATTTTTTTCTAAAATTCTAAGCTAACCTTTAAACTTATAAAAACTTCCCCAAAAGTATGGACATCCCTAAAACTATTGGAACTGCCCTTGAGATCTTTGAGTTTTTCTGAAGATCTTTAGACGTAGGTTGTCTGAGGTTCTTGGAATTTCTTAAAAGTTTCAACACTTTTCCTCAAGTCCTCTGGAATTCTCTGACGTTTTCTAGGATTCCCTTAAATTATCTGAATATCTTCGGAAGTTCTTAGATCTTTTAAAAGTTCTTGCAGTTTTTCTTCATAAATAAGGCTAATTGAACTGCCTTGAAGTTCTGGAAACTTCTCTGAAGTGCTCGAACTTTTAAAGACGTTATCAGTACTTATCTTATCATCTCACAGTCTGTTCATCGAACTTCCCCGACATGCTCGGTAGTTCCTTTAGTTAATTTTACAGGTTGACTAAACGTAAATTGGTACGCCCCTCGCGTTCCGCGGTTTATTAATACTTCTACAGAGAACAACTGGTGCAAGTTTGATCAAAGTAGTCGATCGCGTTCAGAAATAACATCAAATGGAACTCGAAAGAAGAAAAAATATTGAAAACAAACACCTGGAAAATCCAGAGTGGTCCGGTTCCAAGCTGGCTAAGGTGCTGAAGATGCCGAAAACAACAGTTTATCGAGTGCTGAGTGTGGAAAGGCGCCAGCGAACCCAGGGATCGTCAGCTGCGTAGCAAGGTGTTGAGGTGCGTTAAAGCCAATCCCGGTCTTTCGAGCCGAGATGTGGCCAGAAGGTACAACGCAAACATTCAAACGGTGTGGAACATCCTTCCCAGGGAAGGATACAAGGCGTATAAAGCCAGTAAACATCCGAACCGACACATGAAGCAGAATTCCGTGGCCAAAAAGCGTGCAATGCTCTTGTACGACCGTTCTTTGACGAAACACAAGGGCTGCACTTTGATCGATGATAAAACATACGTCAAACTCGATTTTAAGCAGCTTCCCGGTCAAAAGTTTTACATCGCGACTGGACGTGGGGATGTACCGGGAAGATTTAAGTTCGTGTTAGCCGACAAGTTCGCGAAGAAGGCCATTATTTGACAAGCGATTTGCAGTTGTGGCCTGAAAACGGAACCATCCGGCCAGAACACCGCGTCTTCGCCCTTATGGTATTTCTTGATGAACGACGCAACTTCCGGCAGGCATTTCGTACTATAAATTTCCCTGTTCACGGCCAGTCCGGAGCGAAAGAAGAGCGGCTTTGACATCCCCTTCTCGCTGATTGTAAGCCACAGCAGCACCTTCTTGCGAAACTTGGTGTGTGAAATGAACTTCACCTCGGAGCTCACTTCCTTCGTGGGGGAAGTAAAATACGAAGTGCCCTGCCAGTCGTTGCATTCCAGGGTGAGATAGGTCTCGTCGTCCATCACCACCGCCATGTCGCGATTCGCCGGAAAAACGAGTTGACTATCTTATTCAGCCGCTGCCGCTGCGTCATTGCCTGCAGCTCCGAAACCAGTGAACGTGACTTCCGCTTCCTGACATGCATGTTCATATTCGCCAGGTACTTTTTCACTGTTTGTTTCCCTCGGTCTTCCTCTTCAACATCCTTTGGAGCTTCTTGTCGCTCAGGGTCGTCGGCCGTCCGGAACCGGGCTTTCTTTCGATGCTCTGATTGTTGTCCAATAGTGCCAAGATGTTCTAGATGCCGGAACGGGCGTATCCGGCGTCCACAAAGTGCCGCACGATGTCCGTTTTCGACGCGGCGGGGTGTGCTTCACTGTTTTTGCCATCACGGTTAGAGTTCGACTGATAGAGCTGTCAAATTTTGTCTGCTGACTCATGGGTTCCTATGATTGATGCTGCTTGGGTAGTCTCGTCATGAAAAATCGACAATTTTGGTCCATTTTTTAAAATGCAAACGTTATTGCCTTTCATCCATAGCAAGCATAGGGGCAAAGTCATCTTTTGGCCTGATTCGACCACTACTCCAATTTGGAGCCAACAAGATCGATTTTGTCCCCAAGATAATGAATCTTTCGAATTGCCCGGAATTTCGACCAATCGAAAAATACCGGGCAATTTCAAAGCAACGACTTCAACGAAGCGGTAGGGCAGTCAAGAACATCCAGCAAATGCAGACAAAATGGAAGAAAGGCGCTGATTCTGTGTCCGTTTCCCCTGTGCGGGCGCTGATGGGCTCCATCAAGAGGAAGGTTCGAGATTTCTTTCGAACTGGAGAAATGTTACTTTCTAATGTTGTAACTTTGAAGTTTTAATAAAAGTACTGTAAAGCAAGCATTAATAGACTTTTGAAACTTATTGAATCACAAATTACAGGTCTTTTTGTGCGTACCAATTAAATAAAAGAGTCAACCTTTAAATACATAAACATTCGTTTTCTGCACTTCCCTGATTCCTCAGAGCTTCTGAGACATTTTCGATTTTTTTTTTATTAATTTTACTAAAGCTGCCTGAATCTCTCTGGGTTAACTTTAATATTTTGAACTTCTCGTTATTTCCGTAAATTTAATGGAACTGCCTAAAAATTCACTAAATTTACCTGAACCACTTGGAACTTCCCTGAAGTTGCCGCATTTTTCCTGATTTCCCTGGAACTTCCTTTCCTGAACCTACGATCACGTAACTTCCTTTGAAATCTTTAAACTCAACTGAGGTTTTGGCAACTGCGTAAAGTTCCTGCAATTTTCCTGAGTTGAATGGAACTGCCATGAAGTTCTTTGATCTTCACTAACGTTCTCGATTTTTTTTTTGCTGAAATCTATGGAATCTATCATAACGGATCATAAAACGTTCTTGTATCATTTGGAAAAACCTTGTAGCTTCCATGAAGTTCTTGGAACTCCCATGCAGTTCTCAGAACTTCGTGAATTTTTTTTTTCTGATGGTAATGAAACTACCTAAAGTATTCCAAATTTTCCTGAAGATCTCGGAACTTAATTGAAGTTCTCGGAATTTTCCTAGCACTCATGGGATTTTGCTCTTGAAACACCTGTAAAGATCCTGCAATGTTTAAGAGTTAATCAAACGACCCTGAAGTAATTAAAATATAGCAGACATTTTCGGAACTTACTTAAAGTTCCCACAATTTTTCGGATGTTGATGGAACTGCACTGAAACTTTAAGAACTTTCCCGAAGATTTCTGATCTTTCCTAGGTATTTCAAAGTACCTGAAGTTTTCTGGAGTTTATCAATGTTCTTGTTAAGTTACTAAAATGTATTTGAAGTTAATGGAACTGTACTTCATGCTTCTGATTATCATCAAAGATCACAAAATTTTCTTTAATGTCATGAAACTGCCCTGAAGTACTCGGAACTTACCATTAAAGGCTATGGACTTTTCTGTAGCACTCAGAACTGCGCTGAAGTTTTTTAAGCTTCTTTGAATATTTCGGTTATTTCCAAACGCTCTTTTTTGAATTTATTAGAGAGATTTTTAGCCGTTGGCTAGTTCATCTAGATAGCTCTTTTAACATCCTTGAAGTTTTAGAATCTTCTTGAAGTTCTTTAATAAGTTGCCTAATGTTGTATTATGCAATTTGGTGCACAAGTTTTGTATGAGAAACGCCTGTAGATCGGTATTTCTGCGTCCAGTTAGCTTTGAAAAATTAAAAAAAAAATACTGTTCGTTTTTAGGTCTCTGGTACTATCTCCGAGTTTAAACTTTCGGAGGCTAATCAGGACTCGATTTGAAACCGTTTGAACACTGTGCAGCAAACATTTCAAATTTTGCATCAGTCTAATAACCATACCACCTGGAGCTGCAGCAATCTCTGTTGGGAATGACTGCTAAGAACTCCCTGAACGTCTGGAAATCCCGTCAGTAACGTCTGAAATCTTCGTCTGGAATCCCCGAGGGGCACGTCTGGAAGCACTTCGGGAACGTTAAAAATAGTCGAGTTCTGAAGATGACATAACTGAAGATTGTTGAGTGTTTTCACATAACATAAGTGGACAGTTCAGGGGAGGGGGTCCTCCCAATTTGTATTTTTAAATTTGTATGAACGACCGTCTACGCAGAAGAACGAGGGGTTTGAAATCTGTCAAATACCGGCTACTTGGCTTATGGACAACCCCATAGAACATCGGTTATGATTTGGAGTACTACAACAATCATAACGGCTAGTTAATTGCGTCGGTTTTGGACACCTCTTCATCATTGGTGAAATAAATAGTTTTTCCAAAATCGATAGAATTATTCCACGAGTTTCAAAGTTTAAGAATCAGTGACATAATTTAATTACACCGAACCTTACCGTTCCATTTGGTGCTAAGATTCTGACGATGATAAACACTTTTTCAAGAAGGCCTACTTATCCTCGGCTTTCGTTCATTTGCCCCAAACAAGAACGAAACCAAATTGTTCAATCCGATCCGTAATACAGGAGTTTTGTCTGATTTCATTTTCCCTCTCTATTCTTTTCCAGCTGGTCTCCCCTACAAGGTCTACTCCGGCCACGATTCGGTACTGGCGGAGAAACGAAAACAACGCCGGATACGAACCACCTTCACATCGGCCCAGCTCAAGGAACTGGAACGAGCCTTCCAGGAGACGCACTATCCGGACATCTACACCCGCGAGGAAATTGCCATGAAGATTGACCTCACCGAGGCGAGGGTACAGGTAAGTCATCCCGTGTAGGACGTTTTCCCCAGAATCCATCATTGCCGAGCACACCGGGTAATCCATTTGCTTTAGCCCTTTTTTTTTTCTTCCCACACCGACTCCAAGCAAAGCAAGCCGGTCTTGATTGATTAAATTCGCCTCACCCAGTTGGCTTCGGTTTCCTTTTTTTTTTTCTTCCATGGCCTACTCCTCCGCTATCTTGGATTACACTGGGAGGGAGCGAAAAAATCCCATCTGTCTGAGCACGCACTCGGCGACGGCGGCGTCCTCTGAAGAAGGATACTACACGGATGCGTACACGACGAGAAAAACACACATAAAAATCCATTATTTATGACACGTGCCCTATTCAATATTTCACAGCCATGGCACCTCGTTTGCAGGTCCTACTTCATCCTCTTCATTTTTTTTTTCGTGGGATCCCATCTGCGGTAAGGGTGTCACGGACATGGACCATATGAGTTACAATGGTGAGTGGCTGTGTGTGTGTTCTCTGCCTCTTCCAATCGTCTAGGTTACGGCGAAAAATGGCACATCCACTTGATTGCCCGGTTGTTTTCGGGGCAATCTGTGTTTGGTCCATAAAAAAGCAGTATACGGGGTTGTAAATTTGTCACTCTCTTTCCGGTGTCCTTCGGTGGAAAGGATGGATTCCGGAGAATGATGATGGGGAACCAAGTTTCATTTTTACCAGAGCAATCTATAAAGGTGCATGTAGGTGTCGTCTTTTTTGATGAGTAGGGTTATAAAAATCATGTTAAATGACAAAATCAAAAGGTCAACTGCTGTGCTAGGAGTCCCGTAATCCTTACAAATTCTTACATAGAATCAATCACTCTGAGATCCCACTGACCTGTTGACAGACTTATCCCTCCTCACTTAACGGGATAATCGCCCAGCATCCATTCACACGGTTCTCATCTATCAAACGGTGCTACTTCCTGAAGGCTCATGAATCGATTAGCAACACTTGTTTCACAGAAAACACCCCCTTTTTCAGCTGGTATCGAAAGTGCCACACGACACAAAGAGTCCACATCGAATTGCAATCGGATACACTTGTCCGGAGACACTCGGGGAGGATGATCGTAGTGTGCCATGATGTGACACATTGACATCATAATAATCGCATCGCTCACTGTGTGATCTAGGGACTCCGCTGTAGCTCGGGGGAGAGTGGGAAAAATGATTCGCATAAGGGATGGACGATAAGATCTATGGGCTTTCCCGGAGCACAAAAACTTGGATTGAGTGCGGAGTCGTGGGAAAGCAGAAAAACTATTTTCGGGAGATGCGTTACGGGTATGTGACGAGGAGACGGAACAAAGTATCCAATTTGTTGCGGTGAAATATTACTTTGCAAAGAGGCAGGAAAGTTGCTCGCAATCAATCATTTTTTGTGAGCTTCGTTCGGGAACGGAGAATGAGAATTGGTCGTTCTTTAGGGTTGGCAATTTTCGGGAAAATGGGAAACATTTGGCTCCAGTAGGGTGCACTTAGAAGTGTGAAAGTGACAATGCTCACGATTATTTTGAAGTTAGGTTTTTTTTTTCAATTCATTGTTTTCAAACAAGCATTGAATCTATCTAGTCAATTCAAACGAGAAGTGTCTCAAACTACCGCCTACTTCAACCGAGTCCGAGTGTCATGCGGTCCATCTAGTGCTCCGTTTTCTCTGTCGATGATAGTGCTGCCGCCTGTCTCTCCGTTGTCACAAGTGGCAAAGACCAAGCCCTGTACAACGCAGCAGTCTCGCAACCGATTCCCTTACAGTTCAATCAATTATTCATTTCATTAGGAAATGAATTTTGATTTCTGCTGCCCGACGACTGCCGGAGTTCTAACTCACTACCTTCTGACTGACTGGTCTTCCGCCTGGGGATGGATAGCAGCAGCTGAAAGCCAAACGCAAAACTGTACACATTTTTATCCTACGGCAAAATCAATGGGAGAAAAAAAAAAAGCCTTTCGCAGCAAGTCCTGCCCCTCTGCGACGTCATGACCAACTTTAAGGCACACTTTAATGCCCCCTCGACAAGAGGTTTTCTTCCGGCTGCATCGAAGTGAGCTATGCGCGATGCGAGGGTGGCTGTCTGTCGTGCGACGCTAAGAAGATGAAGACCGATAAAGAAAGAAAGAAAAAATGGTAAAACAACAACAGTACCAATCCCATAGCTGAGTGGGCACCCCCCACCCGTCAGGACGTTTTCCGTGATGAATTAAATTGTTTCAATGTTCTGACATTCGCTGGCGGTGGTGGTGGTGGTGGTGATGTTGGTCCGGAAAGTAGCCGGATCCGACTTCGGTTACGCCGCTCGTCCTCTCAATGGTGAGTGGTCAAATTTGTGAAAAAGTTGTAGTCAAGTTAGTTTTAGAATAAAGTGGGATGGTGGAAGTTATGTTGAGCTACTTTAGTGACTTGCGGTGGTTACGGAATGAACAGTAACTTTAATTTCAACTTGGACTAGTCTTACAGTCATCATTCGCTGGTGGAGGCGAACCCTCGTTCCATCTACCGAATGCCATTCAATAGTGTGTGGACCCGATACACCGCAGTGTAGCATGAGCTTAACTAGGGCGAAGCAGCTCTGCAAATAGCTTGATGAGAGTGTGCGTGTGAACTCTACACACAGTACCAGCGTTGCCAGTATTCCAGATTTATCTGGATTTTCCAGATTTTCGGTCATGCGACACAGACAGATCAAGTATATTTCAAGATTTTTAAAATATGTTCCACATTTTCCCAGATTTTTCAAACATGTTGCTTTAAAAATATCATTGCAATTGATTTACACTCTAATAAAAAAAAAACCAATCTTGCTACTTTAATTATTAAAGGCCATCAACGTTGGAAATTATTACAATATCGAACATGGAATTGTTACAATATGTTTGGATTGTAATGGGTTGCACAAACATGAAAATGGAGACATTTAATTTTTTAGAATTTTAATCGGAATTATGCCAAAAGAACATCTGGCAATTTCTTGGAGACTTTCAATGCCATTTTGGCAAAGTATATGGGTACTTAGCAAATACGGAAGAGGATTTCAAAACAATTCTGACCTTACCTACAAAACAGCTCAAAGAAAATTATCGGATAAGTCTAAGAATAGTGTTATGGTCATTCTGAAGAGTGTACCAAGGAAATTATTAAGAATATTCTAAAGGATTTTCATAGAGAAATAAGAAAACAAAATTATGCCAATTCTTCGAAATTATTACCAGTTTGAGGGAGTTGTGGAATTGCAGAGTGATTTATAAGAGATTACAAGAGAACCCTTAGAATGTTACTGAAAAAGTTTAGATATTATCAAGATTATTTTAGGGGAATCCAGAAAAGTAGTAAGAATGGAATTCTAGGAGGATTTAAATGGAACTCTAAAGAAGTCTAAAGAGTTCCAAGTAAATTCAAACTATAAAAAAAATATTCATGATCTGGGTACCAGGAAATATATAAATTACGCTTTCAGACTTTCATTTTAGATCTATAATAAAATTATTCGTAATGGTAATGCAAACTGTTGAGTTACCTGTAGTTTAGGTAAACTGTGCGTGAGTACCACGATGTTAGGCTTTGATTCCCACTTCAGCATGGCGAATTTTACTTTAACATAAAATTGCCTACTGCCTACTATGATGTCAAGAATTGCATTGAAAGTCTGATCAACCTCAGGGTAATATTAGAACTATTTAGAACTATTAAAATCTTTAAGACATATTACCCTAGTAGCACGCTTGTCACAAATCGGTTTTGGCAACTTCTATAAAACTTATATCAGTCATAAACAAGTTGCTGCAACTTATTGTGACGGAAATGTGCTACTCGGGTATGGTACTGCATCAAAAAGTAAGGTCTGCATCAGCTATAAGTTTAAAAAAATCCATCCCATCAAAGTTGCTTGCTTCTTTGCTCCCCATTCTTTTTAAAAAAAAGTTACATTTTAATAAGCAATTCTAAAAATATTTTCTGCAGTATTTACCAACGATTTAACTCAATTTTTGAAGTGGTGTGTAATGGATATTTAAACTTTTTTGGTACACTGTGTCAATACTTTTCTTAACTTTTGGATGATTTAAGCAATGCTAACAAGTTATTTTTTTTTATGATTGATTTAAACATGTAATTTATAAACATTTTGGTACTTTGAATAAATTCCAGTTGATCATACTGACAGATTTTTACGGGAAATTGGCCCATCATTTTGATTTCAATAGCATTATGGTAAAAACAGGATTTTTGGAGCCTTCCAGATTTTATATTTTAACTGGTCCAGATTTTTCTGACAATGACCTCGCAACGCTGCACAGTACGCATGAAACATCAGAGCCTAGGAGCTGAATGAAAGGTGCCACACAAGGAAGAAGTATTAGTTTGTTTACTAAAATGAACTATGCCCATTTTGTTATGGCATGTTTTGCTATAAGAAATGCTCCTCGTATTTGTTAGCGAAATTCACATCAAAGATTGATTAATTGCGTAGGAAATCAGTTTGGCACGGCATTTGTGACCAGCATACATTTTCCGGTCGTATGAAACAGGTCGAAAACTGTCCAAATCCGCAGATAAAAAATTTTGTTTTGAATTTCTGTATGGCAAAATAGTGAACTTTTCGTGAACATTAACGGCAGGGAACTCACCAACACTGGGAGATCGTGAGTTCCGCCCACCTGTCATTTCCCATCTCGCATCAGAGCCACCATCGCTCTTGGCTGTTCCTTCATCGCTCGAGATCTCGGGTGTTTAGGGGCATTCTGGACCATTTTTCAAACACTTTTTCCGTTTTTGTACCATGTTTGGCGTTTTGTGAATCATATTTAGAAGTTTTATTTTTTACCATGTTCGGCGTTTTTTGGCATTTTTGAACCATTTTGGCATTTTTTTAATTTTCAAGCCAGTTTGGAAAGTGTGGGTTTACGTTTTGAACATTTTTTTCCGGTTCTAGAACCATTTGACGATGACGATCAATGAGAGCAGTCGTTTTTATTATTATTAC